CCTCACCGGGCCGGCTCCTGCGGGCAGGGTCGGGCCCATCCGAGCGCGGGAAGAGCGGACGCCGCTCCCTTACGTGCCCATGCATCTCCTTCCCAGAAGTTTCCGGAAGCGCCGTGCGCACACGCACCGTCGGGCGCACGGCGCCGCTCAGAAGTCCTGCAGCTCGGGGATGCCCCGGTACAAATCGAGGGTCTCGGGATTGGAGAAGGCGCCGCGGTGCTCCACGGCCCGGCCGGCCACCACCTGCTTCACCGCCACCTCCACCTTCTTGCCGTTGAGCGTGTACTGCGGAGCGGGGAGTGGAGAGCGGGAGAGCGGCCTTAAGCCGAGGGCCGCACCCGGGGCCACGCCCTGCGACCACGCCCCCTGGGGCGGTGCCCGGGGCCACGCCCCCGCAGGCCACGCCCCCGCAGGCCACATCCTTAAACGAGAGCCGCACCCGGGGACACGCCTTGTGACCACGCCCCCATGGGGCGGTACCCGGGGGCCACGCCCCCGAAGGCCACGCCCCCACGGGCCACATCCTGTGACCACACCCCCAGGGCGGTACCCATGGGCCACGCCCCTACAGGCCACATCCTTAAACCGAGGGCCGCACCTGAGGCCACATCCTGGTCACCACGCCCCATCGAGGGCGGCACCTGGAGTGCTGACCCAAAGGTGCTGACCACGCAGAGGGCAGTCGGTGAGGTGCGTGGAGGCCTGACGCCAACCCGGGGGCCAGTGCAGGCCTCACCCCACTTCCCTGCCCAGAAGGCAGCACCAGAGTGAGGCTGAGCTCCCGGCTGCCCCCCATGTGAGCACATGGCCATCCCCACACCAGCAGCCACCCTGGGAAGCCAGCAATGGAGACTTCCGGGATGTGGTGCCCCCAGCTGGCACACCTGGGGGGAGAGGGGCACACACAGGTCGCCATAGAGCCCGAAGTGCCCAGATTCACACTTCATGGTTTTTGTGGTGTGTACCAGTCCTCGATCAGGTCGAAATCCAACCCACTCCCCAAACCATGTGTGTGGCACGCTATGCAGATGTCCAACACGTGACCATGTCTTTCCTCTTTACTCAAGATGGGCTATGGGGACATCGTTGCACTAATGCACTACAGGCTTCTAAGGCCTCCTTCTGAGAGCCAAGTAAGCCTGCTGGCACCAGGAGTTAAATCTGAAATGCGACTGAAATCATTCACTTGAAGATTTCAGTGGCCATGTGCACCAGCCAGGCCCCGCGTGCGGCTTACAGGGAGGCAGACGCTTGCGTGTGCCACCACTCTCTGGCTGTGACACTCGTCTCCTGCTGATGCCCACTGGACAGTGACTTGTACCCCAGCTGCTAAGATGGACAGAGGCAGTGTGCTAGAAACTGCCAAAAAGCAGCGCAGCCACTGGGCGCCTGGCAGGGCAAGCAGCCCATCTGGGAAAGGCCACAGGCCAGGCAATGGCAGTCGTGGTGCTGGCCTGCAGTGAGTAAAGTCTATCCGGTGCCACACCTGACCGTGCCTGCAGCAGGAAGCACACTGGTTGGCCTGTATCCCCCGGGGACACTTTGGCCCTTTGTGCCTTGTTGGCTAGTGGCTCCCTCCAAGGGTGCCCAGGCCCCATACTCGGGAAGGCACAGGGGATCAACTCTGAGCACCCTCCAGGCCCTGGGCACACTGGGGTGGCGAGCCTCCCCGCCGGCCACTTCCACCCGAGACTGGGCGTCTGGACTCCAGTGCAAAGCTGAAAGAGCCCAGGCCAGATCGCCCCCATTCCCCATTCATCTAGACCTCAGTGCCAAACAGCAGCACAGACGTCTTAAGCTGTCCCCTGACAGCTTCCCGAGAGGAGCTTCCAAGCGGAAGGCAGAGCTGGAGTGCCTGCTGCTCCTGCCAAGCGAACTTTCTCACCCATGACCTGGAGACGCTGTGGCCACCCATCCCACACCTCTGAGGTGCAACTCTAAAAGGGCAGTTGCTAGGCAACGCGGCTCCGGCTATCTGAGAGCTTGGGGGAGGCCGGGCTGCCGGGCGGGGACGTACCGGGATGCCCTGGGTCTCCAGGATGAGGCTGGGGACGTGGCGCGCAGACAGGCCGATGCGGATGGCATCTCGGATGCGCTTCACCAGGCCCGGCTCGAAGGTGTGGCCAGAGGCCATCTTCAGGAAGAGAATCACCCTCTCCTCGCCGTGCCTGTTATACTGGGGCACACACAGGCTGTCCTCCACCTCCTCGAAGGCCTCCACTGTGGAGACAGGGGTGAGGCGCACAGGAAGTGCGCAGCAGCAGCAGTGCCCTGCCGCCTGCAGGACACTGGCCAGGGGCAGAGCTCAGCTATGCCACGATGGACTGGCAGGAGTCCAGGAGTCCAGAGCTGGGCACGGGGCTGGGTCCACCCATCAGACCCCACATTAGCCCTGCAGGAAGGCTGCCTCCCGGGAAGGGGGTCCTTGGGGCCCAGGCTGGGCCTACACCCCGGCCAGGCGGCTTGACTGGGCAATCGTGAGCACAGGGCGGCAGGGCCCGTTCGGCATCCTGTACACTGCTGCACCTTCTGTGCCTCTCTGTGCCTGTTTCCTTACCCAGTAACAGAGGTGACCCGCCACCCCAACTGAGCCCACCATGAGGCCCCCATGAAGGAGTGGGGCACAGGTGACCCCCAGGTAAGCCGCTTGGCCAGATGTGTTCTAGAAGAGAGTTTGTAGGCCAGTCACTTCTGGGGCAGGGACTCTGGAAAGGGACCCGGGGGCTGTGAGGAGTCCGGTGGGGAGCACTACGTACCGATGTTGTAGATCTCCGAGCTGCCGAACCTCACGCCGTTGGGGTTGAGTGTGCCGTCGCTAGTCAGGGAGACAAGGAGAGTGGGAGCAGGCCCCGCCTTCCCTGGCTGCCCCCAAACTCAAACCCTGGCTCTGAGCGTCCACTGTCCCTCCCCACGTGGCAGCTGTGGTGGTGGTGCTCAGAGACACGGTCGGCCCCATGCAGGAAGGCGCAGGGCGGGGACAGTGCAGACTGGGCGCAGGGCCCACATCAGCCTGTGCGGAAGCCCTTGGTGGGAATGCAGGGTGCACTGAGGGGGGCAGCCGGGGCGCAGGGTGGGGCAGGGCACGCAGCGCGCAGACCCCTCACCTGCGGCCCAGCATGACGATGCCCCCCGTCCGGGGGTTGATCCTGCAGTAGTCGCCGTGCGCCCACACGCCTGCGGGACAGAGCAGAGCACACTCAGGCGGCTCGGGGTCACAGCCCTGCCCTGGACCCCGTGCCGTGCCAGGCAAGAGGGAAGCCCTCTGCACTGGCCGCCTGCTGAGCCAGGAATACAGACCATCGCTGGCCCGCAAGGTGGTGACCTTTGTGCCACCCTACGTGGGGGTGGCCACTGGGGGAGCCCTGTGTGGGGATGCCTGCTGTGCGGGCAGCAGAGCTTCTCCCCGCCCCCCCCCGCCCACCCTGCCACCAAGGGGCCAAGCGCAGGCCCAGGCAGGAGGCCCTGGTGCAGAGTCGGTGAGGTGTGGCTTCACAGACGGCGTGGGCTGGCCGGGCAGTGCCCGCGTGGGGAGCGGCCCGCCCACGCCTCCAGACTCACCTGGGAACTTGGAGAAATACGCCTTCCGGTACTTGCTCCCATTCTCATCATTCCAGAAGTGGGTGGGCTGGCAGGGGAGGGGCTTCGTGCACACCAGCTCCCCGCTCTCCCCCCACACGGCCCTGCCTGGGGGGGGGCAGGGTAAGTGTGCAAGCCACACTCAGGTGGTGGCCCTGCCCAGGCGCTGGCACCTCTCCTCGGGGACCCCGCTGCCCGGCTCCTGAGCACAGCACCTGCCCCCCGGCTCGGCACCTGCTTCCCCAGGTGGGGACAGGGACGGCCCTGTATATAAACCAATAGGGGCACCCCACCCCCACCCCGCGGCGCCTCCAAGTCACCCAAACCAGCAACAGCAGCTCATCACCTTCCTCATCCCAGGCCTCCACAGCCATGGCCAGGTTCCGGGCCTGGATCTCCCCCTTGTACACGGGGACCGACACATTCTGACCCATGAAGCAGGAGATGATATCCGTGCCTCCTGTAGTGAGGGCAGAGGAGTCAGCCGAGGGGCCGCGGCTGCCACCACCAACGATCGGGGCCGCCCCCCCACAGACACACACACACACACACACACACACACGAGGGCAGACGATTGGGCACACACACACACACACAAGGGCAGACGATTGGCCCACACACACACACACGAGGGCAGACCATTGGGCCCACACACACACACACACAAGGGCAGACGATTGGGCACACACACACACACGAGGGCAGATGATTGGGCCCCCCACCCCCCCACACACACGAGGGCAGACGATTGGGCACACACACACACACACACACACACACACACACACGAGGGCAGACAAGCCACCCCCACAGAGCAGACGATCAGGGCCACAGGAACCGGCAGCCCCAGGAAGGATGAGGCCATCCCCACAGGGTGCAGCAGGCCGGGGGGGGGGGGACGGGGCTGGGCCTCCACCCCCACAGGGGGCAGAACCAAAGCTCCTCTGGCCCAGAAAGGCCCGGGAACCCCTGGGGCTCCGAACGCCCTGCCCAAGAACCCTAGCAGAGCCAAAGAAGCAACGCAGAAGGCAGTCGGCAGGGCGGCTCAGGCCTCCAAAATGTCCTTGTAGAGAGTTCTGTGAAGAGTTCTCACAGCACGAGAAGAATCAGAATTGCAAATACTCAAAAAGAAATTAAAGTGGCCCAAGGATTTCTATGGACTGCAATATGGAGTCAATATCATCAAGGGAGGAAGGCAGGAGCCTCAGGCCTCTCTCCCATACACACGCACACAGGTGCACGGGTACACGCATATATACACATACACACATAGTGTGCGGGCACACGCCTGAAGGGAAAGGAGACACGGAGTCCCAGGTTTTACTGTCACCTGCACCCATTACTCTCCAGGCACAGTGCGCGTTTATGAAGTGATGAGAAAAGGCCACTTGTGCTGGACACGGTGGCACAGGCCTGCAGTCCCTGCACCAGGAGGCCGAGGCAGGAGATGACCGTTTGAGGCCAGCCAGGCTAGAGAAGCCACTGACCCCACACACAATGCACCAGCATAAATGCACACACGTACAATCACAAAACCACCTCTGCCGCCCGCACGTGCCCCTCAGGGGACTTGCTCTCAACGCCAGCCTGCACGGTGACTGAGCACTCATCTGTCAGCACCACAGGGGACACCCCCGGGCCCCCCCCCTCCGTATCCCTGGCCCCATACCTGAGATGGAGCCCAGGAGCACGCTGCTCTTGATGCACTTGTAGACATACTCGTAGCTCTGGGCCTTCAGCGGGGAGCCGGTGGACAGGATGGTGTGGAGTGTGTGGAGATTGTGGGTTTCCGCTGGTGAGCAGTCATGAGAGATTACCCCGGGCCCCTCCCCGCCCCACGGCCCCACCCCACCCCGGAGCAGGGGACAGGGCTCACCGGGCTTCATGTCCTTCTCTTCCAGCACCGACAGCCACTTGGCACCCGTCCCCAGGATGGTGATGCTAAGGACACAGACCGTTTAAAGGGACTGAGAGAGGTTTTGAAGCCGTTTAAGTTCCCAGGGACTGCTAACCCTTTGCTGCAGTCTCTCTCACTAGGAAAGAACCTTCCCCACCAGTAGCGGGCCCGGTGTCAGGCCTCAGCCGGCCTCACCCAGGCCAGGAAAGTTTGGCTCCGGCCGGCGGGACTCGGGACCTACCCAATCCTGTCCACCAGGTCCCACAGCACGGCGGGCGTGGGGACCAGCGGGGAGCCGTCGTACAGGACCACCGAGGCTCCGGTGGCCAGAGCGGACACCATCCAGTTCCACATCATCCAGCCGACCTGCGGCAGACCAGGGTTGGGGGTCAGCCACGGCCAGGAGGGGCACCCACCCGCCCCTCCAGCCGAGCCCCGGGGCCCACCGTGGTGTAGTAGAGCAGAATGTCGCTGCGGGCCGTGTTCCCGTGCAGCATGTGTTCCTTCAGGTGCTGGATGAGGGTGCCCTGTGGACGAGGGCACACAGATGAGCAGCGGCCCGGGCCTCGCGCCCACCACACGCTGCCCGAGGGAGCACAGGCCCCTCGCGCTGGCCCGGGGCGTGGCAGCGCCTGGCCTGGCGAGCTACGCCCTGTCATTTGTGACTCACATGGGGAAACCGCCAGGGCCCTTCCCGCCCAGTGCCAAGCCCTGGAGGCACCGTGGACACCTGCTGGAGGGCAGGAGCTTGCCCAGGGAGGATGTCCCACCGGCTGACCGGGCTCACAGCCAGGACAGCTCGGCCAGGGACAGCAGGGGCCGCCCGTCACCTGCTGGTTTTGTTTTTTGGGTCCGGTCATGGGGTCTGAACTCTGGGCCTGGGCACTGTCCCTCAGCTCTTCAGCTCAAGGCTAGCACTCTACCACTTGAGCCACAGTGCCACTTCCAGCTCTTTTCATTTTGCTTATGTGGTGCTGAGGAATCGAACCCAGGGCCTCATGCATGCAAGGCAAGCGCTCTACCACTGAGCCACCTTCCCAGCCCACCTGTTGCTTTTTTATTTCGATGCTTATGGGCAACAGACGCCAAGGGTGCAGACATGCCGCCCTGCCGCCACCGCACTGAGCTGCCCTGCAGGGCCCAGGGGCTTCCCCCAGCCGCCCAGAGCCCACCCCACCCTGGTGTCCCAAGGGCACGGCGAAGGCCCCACATGCCCCCTTCTCCTGTCACCCGCACTGGGCCTCGGGTCCCACCAGGGACAGAACGGGTCCCTGGTCCCAGGCTGGCGTGGGGCCACTGCCCATGTGAACACCAGCGGCCCGGCCAGGCCTCCTGGCTGGCGTGAAGGCCCACGTGTCCCACACCTGTCACGCTCGGGAGAAGTTAGAAGGCGGGCACACCCGTGAAGCCAGCCCTGGGGAGGCGACGCGGGAGGACCACAAATCCAAGGGCAGCCTGCCCCACACTCAAGACATGATAACTCTCAGCACTGGGCAAAGAGGCTTAATACCAGTTCTCTGGAGCAGTGAGCCCAGTGAAAATGGAACACATGCATCTTTTCTTGATCTTTCCCCACGCTAAATATGCCAGGCACGGGCATTTTATGAACAAACTCCATTATAGCTGATATATTTCTATGTTCTGCTGCTTTAAAAACGGCAGTCACTATGCAAAACACTAAAAATAACCGCGCGGTGACACGCTCTGGCTTTTCTGGAAGTGTCTTCCTCAGCCCCACACATCCTCCCTGCCTACAAGGTTCTAAAAACACCCGTCTCGTGGCTGGGAGATGGGCCTGTGGCCAGACGCGTGGCAGCCCTGCTGGGAAGGTCAAGGCCAACACCCGGCAGTCAGCGGCTGCTCGGAAGGTCGAGCCCAGTGCCCGGCGGTCAGCGGCTGCCTTTGAGTGGCAAGGCCACTTCTGCCCACACAAAGTGGCACTGGGCCGGCAGGGGCCCGGGCCACGGTCCCCAGCCTCCCACACTGCAGCCTCTGGGTCGCCTGGTGCCCCACGGTGTTTTGTGGGAGGACCTCACACCCAGGACTGGCCCCGTGCCCCGAGGCCACGCGAGCTCCCGTCTTGAGGAGCACACCGGGAGAGGCTGCCCCTCCTGAAAGCTCTTCGCATTTTGCAGGTGTAAAGAAGCATCTGGAAAGGCCAGCGGCTACAACGGGCATTTACGCCATCCCCACACACCAGCTGAGCGCCGGCCAGCAGTGGCCAGCGCTGGAGGCCTTTCTCTCGGTGCCTCTCTCCTCAGAGGGGAGGAAAGCCGAGCGTGGCAGGCTGACCACTGTGCGGGGGCCTCCCCACCCCCGCAGCCTGAGCCCAGGGAGGGGACGAGGTTCTGGGTGCCACTGGGCCGTGGTGGTCCACGGATGTCCTGCCAGCAGCATCTCTGGGCTGTGTGCCTGGTAGCGTGGCGCCATCCTTGACATAAGGGCCGATGGTGGCACCAGCTCTCCAAGAGAACGTTCCGGCTCTAGGAGTCCTGTGCAGTGGCACTCAGCTTGATGAGAGACCCGCTGGCAAGTTCCCTCTGGCATCCAGCCCACACTGGATGCAGCCGGTTGCAGCCTGACCCTCAGCCTCCCTGCCCCCAGCCGGGACTGAGCAAACCTTTGCTCTCCACATGCTACCCAGTTTGCAGCATTCAGCCACAGCCTGGAAATGGGTAGAACAAAAGGCCCACTGGAGAGCCTCCTCGGGAGGCAGTGGCCATGCACAAGCAGGGAGGCAGGCCCCCAGAGCCCAGCGCCAGCCTCCAGCCTCCAGGACCCAAGACACAACTTCCCAGACGCAGCCTTCCGGACTGATCCCTAGCCGGATAAGTGTTCCCTGGATGACATGTGCAAGACACAAGCCCGTGGCTCTCCCACACCCACCCACGCTCTCCCACACCCACCCACGCTCTCCCACCCCCGCCCACGCTCTCCCACGGTCTCTCATGTTCTCCCACATCTCTCCTACAGTGAGCAACGCTGGCCCACCCTGTGGGAGCCCACCCGGGGGGCTCACTGTCCCATGGTGACCTCCACGCCAGTCACCATAGCGGCATCAGCTAGCAAGCCCCGGGGCGGCAGCTCCCTGGGGCGGCTGCTGGTGTGGCTGGGCAGTGGGTGTGCCAGGTCTGTAGGGAGGACAGGCAGGCCTGGGGGGGGGGCCGGTGGGGGAGGGGGCTGGCGGGGGGGGCGGGCCCCGACGGGGGGGGGGGGGGGCGGGGGGCGGCAAGCCCCGGCAGCAGGCATACCCCGGCTGAGTGCACCATGCACTTGGGCGCACCGGTGGTGCCCGAGGAGAACATGATGAAGAGCGGGTGGCTGAACGGCAGCTGCTCGAACTCCAGCTGGGGGGCCGGCTCGCCCAGGCCCAGGGCGAGGAAGTCATCCAGAAACACGCTGTGGACAGAAACACAGAGACAAGGTGAGCGGCGGCTGCTCGGGAGGCGCAGGGAGAGCAGAGAGGGAGACACGCCACCGAGGTTCGGCTGAAGGAAAGCGGAGGATTTCCAGGTGGCTCCCAGCATGTGCTACTCGGGGCAGAGGTGTGAGGGCCACGGCACAAAGCGGTGTGGGGAAGGCCCGGGGCGGGGGCAGAAAAGTTAAGAGACACTTGTCTCCAATTAACCAGTGGGGGGAGACCAGAAGTGGAGCTGTGGCTCAAGTGGGGCAGAGCTAGCCTTCAACAAAAATACTCAGGGACACCATCCAGGCCTAGAGCTCAAGCCCCAGGACAGGCTCCTTAGCCCAGCGCAGGACTGAGCTCCGCAGTCACCCCGGGAGCCACAGCCGCCGGCACATGCACACACTGCCATCAGGTCTTCCAGCCCAGCTTTTTGTTTCCTGGGATTACCTGCCGGGCACTGGACCCCAGGGTCCCCTGTGCGGCGCAGGGAGGCAGCCAGCCTAGGATCACACTCTGCAGACGGAGGGGACAGCACTGCTCACACACTCATGCAGCGAGACTAAACATCTGACCAAGAAGAAATGTTAAAAATCCAAACTACTGCGGGGCACCGGTGGCACACGCCTGTCATCCTAGCTACTCAGGAGGCTGAGATCTGAGGATGGAGGTTCGAAGCCAGCCCAAGCAGAAAAGTCCCTGTGAGACTCTTATCTCCAAAGAACCACTCACAACCCAGAAATGGTGCTGTGGCTCAAGTGGTAGAGCGCTACCTTTGAGTACAAAGAGGCTCTGGGACAGCGTCCAGGCCCTGAGTTCAAGACTCAGGGCCAGCAAAAAGAAAAACTAATCCAAACTACTGACTGAAGTGTGCCCAGCCTTACCCTAAACCGACAGAGAGCAACAGCGGGGTGGCCACAAGCCACCAGGGCAACACAGCCCTTCGTGTGCCCGGCTGCCCCTGCCCAGCACCGGCTGTCCACCGTGCGGTGGCCAGCGCACTTTCTCTCTTCCAGGGATGGACTGAGGTCCACCGCTGGCCAAGGCGAATGAACCGCAGCACGTGCAAGGCAGCAGAGGCATCAGGCCCGGGCAGGACCCTCAGTGCCAAGGCCTGTCCTGACCACGCAATGGTTTGTAACCGACCAACAGAATAATTCAGCACTGAGAGACAAACCAGCAAGGCCCCCCGCTCTAGAGGGTCAGGAAATGGGACACCCGGAACTCAGGCCACAAAAGCCTTTCTCCCCACCCCCCAACCCCACACAGCCATTTATATAAATGCCAATCAGACAGATGCTCCACACAGGGGAAGACTAGCTTTCAAACCGTCCACAGATCACAGCAAATACCACTGCTTTGGTTTATCTTCCAGAAATGAAGAGCCCGAGGGTGGCTCTGCTCACCTCTGTGGATGGGCTGTGCAGGGTTCTGCTGTAGCCTCAGCCACCAGCCACTGAAGCAGGACAGGGCCTAGGGCCTGGGAGGAATGAGGGGACAGCTGTGCACACTGCAAGCGAGCCTGTGGGTGCACTTCCCACCAGTCACTGGGACATGGGGGCGGGGCCACGTGGGCCTGAGCCGGCAGGCCTTCCTCCCCGCAGCTCTGTGGCTCCCGCAGAAAGACCCGGGAGACAGAATGGAGGCAGCAAGCCTAGAGCTCCTGACTCTAATGGACAGAGGCTGCAGGTGTCCCTCGGGGCACTGCAGATCCCGGTGACGACCATGTGACCCACAGCTGTCACTGCGCTGCCACCGCATGGTGGAGAGGCCCCTCAGGGTCACCCGGACTTGACCTACAGACCGAGCCTGCCACCAGCACCTGCAGCTGCTGCCAGGTTGCTTCCAGAATGCTGGCACCCCCGGGAGGTCCAGGCAGGCAGGCAGGCGCCCCCTCCCCACGCCCCACACCGGACTCCTGGACACTGAAGCTCCGCCTACTCGTGGGCACTGTGGGCCAGCAGCTCACTCCCGCAGCGGTGACACCACAGAGTGTGCCGCACCCCGAGAGGACATCGCACCCTAGGAGGCACCCTGCACAAAACATGGCACCTGCCGTCTCCCCGAGTCAAGGCCTCTGTCCCCTCCCCGCTGGAGGGCCCAGGACCCCTGGTGCGACCACACAGCCTCCAGGGCTTGCTCTGGGCACCTCCTGCCAAACTGAGACTAAGAACAAGACAAACTCGGCTTGAACTAAATATCAGGAACAAAATGTCAGGAAGCAGTGAGGCATCCGTGCCCACCACCTGTAATCCCAGCTACTCAGGAGGCTGGGATCTGAGGATTCCAGTTTGAAGCCAGTCCCAACAGGAAAGTCCACTAAACTCTATCTCCAGAATAACCAGCAAAAAGGTGGCTGGAAGCATGGCTCACGGGGTAGAGCATCCGTAGGTAAACCGAGCAAGCCCGCACAGGACCTGGCAGGTCTTCTGTCTATTTACCTCTGTCTAGGTGACTACCACCACCCCTAAACGCTGAGAGACAGTTGTCACAGCACAAGAAACAGTTCCCACGTGCCACTGTTTGCACCACCAGGTCTGGGCTCTATCCCAGGACCACGAAAGCAAGAGAGACAAAGGCCTGGCTGTTACCTGTTGGCGATCTTGGAAATGTCTATCTTGTCTCTAGTGGTGACGTAAGGAATCACCACCACCCTCTTCAGGTCAGGCAGGCCTGCGGGAAGGGGAAGGCCAGTTACCCAATGGACGTATGCGCTGGGCCTGATGCTGTGTGTGTGCACAGGACTCCAGGGAGACGCCACACACACACATGCACATTCACACGCACGTGCAGAGGTCTCTGGGAACCTCTGGGCCCACACAGGGCTCCGGGGTGACTCCCCTCACGTGTACTCCGGGGTGACCCGTGCACATGTACTCCGGGGTGACCCGCACACGCGTGCACCCGCACCGCCCCCCTCCCCTCACGCGTACTCCAGGGCGATCCGCACACGCGTACTCCGGGGTGACCCGTGCACATGTACTCCGGGGTGACCCGCACACGCGTGCACCTGCACCGCCCCCCTCCCCTCACGCGTGCTCCGGGGTGACCCGTGCACATGTACTCCGGGGTGACCCGCGCACGCGTGCACCCACACCGCCCCCCTCCCCTCACGCGTACTCCAGGGCGATCCGCACACGCGTACTCCGGGGTGACCCCCCTCACGTGTACTCCAGGGTGATCTGTGCACACGTACTCCGGGGTGACCCGCGCACATGTGCACCCGCACTGCCCCCCTCCCCTCACACGTACTCCAGGGCGATCCGCGCACGCGTGCTCCGGGGTGACTCCCCTCACGCGTACTCCGGGGCGATCCCCTCACGCGTGCACCCGCACCGCACCCCTCCCCTCACGCGTACTCCAGGGCGATCCCCTCACATGTACTCCGGGGTGACCCGTGCACATGTACTCCGGGGTGACCCCCCTCACGTGTACTCCAGGGCGATCTGTGCACACGTACTCCGGGGTGACCCACGCACGCGTGCACCCGCACCGCCCCCCTCCCCTCACACGTGCTCCGGGGTGACCCGCGCACGCGTACTCCAGGGCGATCCGCGCACACGTACTCCGGGGTGACCCGTGCACGCACACGTGTGCACCCGTACCTTTCACCACCTGCTGCAGCTTGCCCAGGTGGCTGTGTTCCTTGCCGTTGTAGAGCACGGCTTCCACTGAGAAGATGAGCTTCGGCTGAATCTGAGAAAACCGGTCCAGCACACCCTGAAAATGGGGGAGACGTCACCACAGGTCATCCTGCAAAGAGCAAAGACCTCCAGCTGCCGACGGGAGCCCTGGGCAACACGGCCACAGCAGCCGTGATGGCTGAGAAGCCACCGCCACACCAAGGAAGGCCGTGGCGGCAGGAAGCACTGAAGGATGTGGAGATGTCCCCAGTCCTGTGACGCGCCCCAGTGCCCCCTGGGAACCTACAGAGCACACGCACCCTGCACACCACACCGTGACAGGCAGGTCTGCACCTGGCTGCAGGCCAAGGCCAGCACAGCGGGACCGGAAGCTAATGGAGCTGGGAGGAGGGACTAACGAGGCGCTGCAGGCGCTGGCTCAGCAGGGCCCACCCCTGGCTGAGCAGTGCGGGGCACAGGCCTGGCCGCAGGCGCCACCTCTGTGTCACCATCTGTGTCAGGGCTCAAGGATGGAGAGCTCATTTCCAAAGCGGTCAATGTTCCAAGCCGCACACTGTCTGTCAGGAGACTAGGGGTGAAGCCCCCGGCCTTTGCCCTCAGTGGGCGCTGGGCACCGGCCAGGGTGCCACACAGATTCTGCTGTGGCCACAGCCACGGATGTTACAGGCAATGCGCAGTGCAGGCAGCCTCTGCCTGGCGGCCATCACCCCTGTAATCCCAGCACAGGAGGCTGAGGCAGGAGAACGGCACGTGCAACGCAAAACTCTATTTTGATATGAGACACATCTCAAAAAAATAAAAAGAGGAAAAGAAAGAAAGAAAAAGGAGGAATTAACCCTGTAGGGAAAAATTACTGGTAAACAGCAGCAGAGAAAACAATGCTAAAAAAACTCATACTACTGTCAACATAGCTACTCAGGAGGCTGAGATCTGAGGATCGAGGTCCAAAGCCAGCCCTGGCAGGAAAGTCTGTGAGACTCTTATCACCAATGAGCCACTGGAAAACTGGAAGTGGAGCTGTGGCTCAAGTGGTAGAGTGCTAGCCTTGAGCTGAAGAGCTGAGGGACCCAGAGTTCAGGCCCAGACCCAGAGTTCAAGCCCCACAACCGACAAAAAAATAAAAAAGGCTCGGGGCTGGGAAGTTGGCTCAGTGGCAGAGCACTTGCCTTGCATGCATGAGGCCCTGGGTTCGATTCCTCAGCACCACATAAGCAAAAAGAAAAAAGCCGGAAGTGGCGCTGTGGCTCAAGTGGTAGAGCGCTAGCTTTGAGCTGAAGAGCTGAGGGACAGCGCCCAGGCCCAGAGTTCAGGCCCTACAACCGGACCAAAAAAAAACAAAAAATAAAAAAGGCTCATCCTGAGAGCACCTGCCTAGCAAGCACAAGCCCACAAGTTCAAATCCCAGCACAGCCAAAAACAAGTGAAGAACCAAACAGATCAATAAAATACACAGCCTGACCAGCGTGATGGACGGCTCCCAGGCCAGCACCTCCCCCACCACTCACTGACCTTGACATCGCCCAGGGGTTTTCACAGAGGCCCCACTACCCCTGCCACAGGCAGAGAAACTGAGGCAAGCGACAGCAGGTCCCACCAGGGACCACACACAAGGCCCCAGGCTCAATGCCCAGCACCGGCTCTTTCCCCCACGACACCGCCCCACTGGAGACCCCATCCACAACCTACAGCCGTGCCCCCCAGGACCCAAGCATGGCCCGACTCACGTTCACACCGAAGTCTGGGGACGTGGAGCTCCAGATGGCGCCAATGCTCGCGGCAGCCAGCATGGCCTTCACGGCATGTTCACCGTTCGGTAAGTAGCCTGCGGGGCCAGGGAAAGTCCCCCGTGGGTGTTTAAGGCAGATTCCCCAAAGTTCGCCCAGCGGCCAGGCCGGGGCGCGGCAGCGGGACCCGCTGGCCTCTCCCCCCATTCTCCACCCGCCCCTGTGGGTCCGGGCCCCAGGCCTCTCGTCCACAGCCCCCCTCTGCTCCCACACAGCAGCCACCTTTCAGGCCCTGGAGGCTTCCACCCGCCCAGCACACGTCCATCCACAGCAGAGCACACGCTCCACTCTTCCCTCTACGAAACGCCCGTGAGCTATCTCCCACCAGCCATCCACAAGAGCCAGGGCGCCGCTCCCACGCCGCTCGCTGCCCAGGCTGCAGAAGCAGCCCGACACCCCGGGACCGGCTGGCTGTGCCCTGCCCTACTGCGCCCCATGAGGCCACCTGGCCTTGCCCTCCTGGCAGGCACAGTTGCTGCCCGAGGCCAGTGCGTCCCCTGGGGGGAGGCACACCTCAGCCAACGCTGCCACAGATGCTGCCCACACACACCTGCCCATCCCACAGCCCCGCTTGCCAGCATCGGCATTTTCCCAGAAGTCAAAGTGACGGGAAAAGCGCATGGGGCTCTTGGTGGGGACCGGAACTCCTCCAGGGGGACAGAGGAGGGAGGCAGCCCAGGCCTCAGCTGGGCTTCTCATCTGAAACGGGGGCCCAGCATGCACACCTCTGCAGATGCTGCGTCCCAAAGGGCCAACGGGCCTTTGCACAAGCTGTGTCTGCTGCCTGCAGCTTAGGGCCAAGTCCTAAACACATCTTCATTCCCGCAGCCAGCATCCCCCCTTGGCCTCCAGGACACTCACCAACCACCCGGTCGCCTTTCCTCACTCCCATCTTGCGCATAGCCGCTGCAAACAGAGCCACCTGCTGCCGCAGCTCCTGGAAGGTCACCTTCACGATCTCCTCTCGGCCCTCGCCTGGAAGTCACAAGGGCAGGTCGCACACAGACCGGGCAAGGAGAGGGGGCAGAGAGGCCCACGCATTCCCGGGGACCCAGGTGGCCGACAGGGATACAGCGTGAGTATGCATCTGAGCCGGGGCACCGCGTGAGTGTGACCCTGTGAGCCGGGAGAGGCGTCGGCACCACACAGATCCTCCTGGCCCCATTTCACAGTCTTACTCCGCAGGGCCACCCTGCCCCTCAGCTGCCATTAATCTGCTGTCCATCCCTACAAGTTTTGCACTGAAAGAAGGTTCTAGAAACAGAATCACACAGAAACTGGCCTTCTGAGACTTTTCCAATCAGTACAGTGCTTAAGGATCAATAGCTCGTTCCTCTCTTTCCACCTGTGGTTTGGATGGCGCGTCATTTACTGATCACAAAGTGAACACAGCCAGGGGTGGTCTCTCACACCAGCCATCCCAGCACTCAGGAGGTACAGGCAGGACAATCTCAAGTTCTAGACCAGCCTTGGCTACACAGCAAGATCCTGTTTCAGAGAGAGACAGAGAGAGACAGAGAGACAGAAACACAAAGAGATAGAGAAAGAGAGAGACGTAGAGAGACAGAGACATAGAGAGAGAGAGAGCTAAAGATAATGCAAAGCTAGGCACCAGTGGCTCACACCTGTACTCCTTGCTACTCAAGGGGCTGAGATCTGATGATCAAGGTTCAAAGCCAGCCCGGCAGGAAAGTCTGTGAAACTCTGATTCAATAAACTATTCAGAAAAAGCTCGAAGTGATGCTGTGGCTCCAGTGATAGAGTGCTATCCTTTCAAACCCCAGAAAATGCAAACATTCTGTAAATATCAAATATTGCAAAAAAAGAGAAAAATATAAGTAAGAAAATTCAGTGCTCAGCCTACCGGTGACAGGCGGCCCTGCGGCCGGTCGGTTATTTGGTTATTTCTGGATGGACTGTGGCCTCAACGCCCTGGCTCACGGGGGGGGGGGGGGAGGCCCTGGAGACGCCGGTGGGGTCGCCCTGCTGCAGGGGGTTTAAGGCATGGACACTAGGACTGTTGGTCACTTGCTACCTCCGAAGGCACAGATGGGACCTGAGCACCCCACTGCTGCCTGGGGAAGACGCCCCCGCCTCACCTTCCCGCACAGTTTCATTCCTAATCGCCAAGGGCTCAACCTTCCCCGTGTGAACACCCGCCTGCCCCGTGGACACCAGCCCTGTGCCCTCTCCTGACCTCCCTGCCATTCAGCCTTCCCTCCCTCAGCGGGGCAAGGTCTCTTCTAAGAACATTCCAGTCACCTGAGCTCTACCGTGGGACAGCTGCCCATCAGGCAGGCACTGTGGCCACTGCGTGCTGCTCCCGGGAGCTCGGAGCCCGTGTGGGCCGTGGACAGGGCTGGGCTACGCAGGGAATTCCTGAGGGCCGGAGGGGCACGGGCCAGACGGCCGCAGCCAGAGCGCTGGAAGAAACCCGGCTGAGGGCTCAGTGTGTGGCAGCATATCGGGAGAGAGAGAAGCATCTGGACGCGATCCCTAGCCACAGGCTCCTGCTCCCAGCCAGCGTGTGCAAGCACAAGCAGCAATGGCGGGGACCCAGCCCGCACCCCTCCATGGCCCCCGCACCCCCTCACGGCCCCCGCACCCCTCCACGGCCCCCGCACCCCTCCACGGCCCCCGTACCCCTCACAGCACAGTCCTTCAGAAGCCCTGTGGCCTGAGCTCTCCCAAGTGTGGCCCAGAGCTCCCCAAACCTGCTAGGCTGCTCAGCCAGATCCAAAACCCTGATTTAATCAGGGAGTTACTCAGTTTCTTTTTCTTTCTTTTTTTTTTTTTTTTTTTAGTCAGGGCTTGAACTCAGGACCTGGGTGCTGTCCCTGAGCTCTTTTTGCTCTAAGCTAGCACTCTACCACTTTGAGCCATGGCGCCACTTCCAGTTTTTTGGTGGCTCATTGGAGATAAGAGCATCACAGACTTTCCTGCAGAGGCTCAGGTTTCTGAGTAACTAGGATTACAGGCCTGAGCCACCAGCACCCAGCTCTATTTTAATTTTTGGCGTTGAGACAATATCTCACTGTGTGGTCCAGGCTGGGCTAGAACTCACGATTCCACTGCCTCAATCTCGCCAGTGCGGGAACACAGACACCAGCCCACAGGAAGCCTCTGCCAATAAAACTCATCACTAAGTTAAGGCATGTCCTTTATACCACTTCTTCCAAAGACTGCCTAATACATAGATTGAAGCATTTTTGTGTGTGTGTATGTGCTAGTTCTGGGACTTAAGCTCTGGGCTTGGGCACTATCTCTGAGCTTTTCTGCTCAAGGCTAGCCCTCTACCACTTAAGCCACAGCTCCACTTTTGGCTTTTTGCTGGTTTATTGGAGATAAGAGTTTCATGGAGCCGGGCGCTGGTGGCTCACGCCTGTAATCCTAGCTACTCAGGAGGCTGAGATCTGAGGATCGCGGTTCAAA